CGTGAAAAATCTAATTAGAAATCCTCCATGAAACACCACCTCTTTTCCACTGTATTCAATCCAATCTGACGTCAGAGTTTCTGATGTAATACACGTCTGGACCGGTGAATAAATAGTAACCTTCCAAAATAAAACAGGGAACAGGAAGCAGCAGAAAGGAAGGCTTCGCTGTATAATAAACAATAGTCGGATGACTTCAGCAGCTAAAGTAAATGCGTGTGGATAAAACATGTGGAGCCACATTGTTTTATTGGCTTAATCATCTGAGGGAAATTCCACCTGTCCATTCAGTATGTTATTTGCAGGAGATGAACAAACACAGTTGGCTGAATTTCAAGAACATAGGTGGCGGTAGTTAGTGTACAGTATGTAAAGCTCATTGTAAAGGACAAGTAGGATTTGATGAATCTCTAGTAAATAAAAGTATACAACAAAATTAATTAAATTAAATGATATTAATTGCCCTCAATATCTGACCACTTGTAAACATGTGACTGAAGCTCCATACTTAGGTCACATGATGAAAACCATTCGTCATATCCATGACGAATGGGCAAACTGCATCCCCCCAGGAAGACTGTGACATGTGCAGTAAAAGTGGACCTTGAGTTAAGATTTTCTTTCTTTTTTTGTGAATGAAACGCAGTAAATTTGTGGTTCATTATATATTGCAAGTGAAAATATTAATTTTCCACCTCTTCAGTATTGTGATTTAACCATGCCAGCAGCATCGTGGCTCTGGGGAAATCAGAAATCAGAAATCTGTTGTTTTCCCACTTCAGGTCAGAGTGCAATATCTTCATATTTTGAAATATTCCAAAATGTTGAATAAACTGATTTGGAGTTTTGTACAGACATTCATGGCATCTAGATTGGTTGGTTTGGTTAATGCCACCAGCAAGTCAAAGCTGGAGTGGAACCAAATGTGGTCCAGACATTTTGCTTCCCAGAAGATAAACTGTAATAACTTTGTTGATCTCTTGACTAATGTTAGTGCCAACAGGTCAGAATTTAAAAAGTGTATCTGATACTTTAGTTTATGACTAAAATACCTGCAAAATGATTGACTTCAGCTGTACTTTTGTTTATCTGCTAAATCTAGAAGGTGGGCATATTACCTGCTTTACAGCAGCATGCCATTGTGAGCATGTTAGCATGCTGTCACCACTGCGCCTGAGTATATTCTAGCCTCAAAGAGCTGATAGCATGGCTCAGAGTTTAGTTCGTTTCCAGCCTCAGTGAAGCTCCGTGAAGATCAGGGTGTACAACAAACAAACAAACAAGTTCATGTGATATGTGTGTTTTAAACAGCGATGCACTAAAAGGCAGGGTGAGACGTCTGCAGTAATAGGGAGGGGCAAGAAGTGATGAGTAATACAAAGATAATTCTAGCAAACTTTTGCAGTTTTTTTTTATTTGTCCGTATCACACGTGTCTGATGGAACCAGTATGCTCCTAGTCTAATAACTTACGCTTGATTAAACACAACCTGCAAGTCTGTTTTCCTTCGTTTTAAGTGTGTAACTTCATTAATTATGTACTGGGCTCTGTAATCCTGAAAGACTGGTGACCTACGCTTAGTCCAGTGCCTGAACGCGCACAGATGAGACAGTGACACTCCTGTTGCTTTCACTACACCTCCTGATGATGCTGCACTTGCTGGGAGAAAAGTCCAACCTCAGGATGGTGTAGGGAGCGAGAGTTTAAAGCTTACCACAAGAACACTTACACCTTAAGGAGGAATAAAGATTAAAACCTAACACTAATAGCAATGTAATGCTAAGTAGTTTAGGATTTCTTATTGCTACCTCTTTATATTTGTAGCCCTGAAATTTGAGAAGACATTGACACGTCTCATGGCAAAGCTGTAACAGGGAGAGTCTTGTAATCAATCAGACGAATAAAAGCAGGAGAAAATTAAATCAAGACAGACAGGAGGAGAGATTTAAGTAAATGAAATTATTGAGAGCATAATTTTGAAGGAGCAAATGTATTACACAGAGAGGACAGATGGGTGGTGGTGTAGCAAGAGAGGGAGACACTGAGATTGCCAAACAGCGTCGCAGGATGACTGTGTCAGACCAGAGAGCCACAATACCAGAGATTGAGAGAGCACTTGGTCAGTCGCCAACATATCAATTTAGAAATTAGCTTTAGTGTGTGTGTGTGTGTGTGTGTGTGGGTAGAAGAGGGGTGGGGGATGGGGTATACGAAGTACAGGACCAGTTAGTGGTCCAGAATCAAATTATGTCTGAAGCTACATTATGTCTGAGCCTGAGTACAGGGAGCCGCATTCTCAACCTGATACGGCACAGTCAGACCGTGGGAGACTGACCCGCTTCTCACTGACATCAGTGTGTACTTCAGGTTTTCAGTGTTTGTCCTGCTGACATCAGTGTTTGTCTGGCAAAAAAATATTTAGTCTGATAAAGTAGAGGTGTGTATTTTGTTATTCATGTAGAACAAAAGTGCTTAATGTTATTAGATAACCAATTTTTCCTCTGTCGCAGTCGTGTGTATCTCTGAGGAACATCGTAAGAATCAATAGTGAAGATGTAACTCGGAAATTAACCAGTTAGATGTTGCTTTTAATGCTAAGTAAGCATGAGAATCCCAACTCACGATCCAAACCAGACAGTCAGCTGGCTAGATAGGTAGCATGTGAGGCCAAACCATGTGTTACACTGAATAAAAGATGAGGGTTGTTATTGTGCCTGTCTACTTTGTTCATAGCAGCAGCCTCTAGCTGCTTGATCCAGAACTACAATGACACTGTTGTTCCTCTGGCTAACAGGAGTTACCTGGATAAACTTAGTGCTGTTGTAGAGTGTGTTTGCTTTAATAGAGGCAGAAAACGTGATGTGGTGATGACTAGTGTCAATACCAATACAATACCACTATCAGTATTGTCAGGAAAAATGCAATTATTTTAAAAAAAAACAGACTTTTGAGGGCATAAAATGAATATATTATTATAAAAATATATTTTATGCAATTCATCCATGTGATTATATGTGTCATAATTACTTGTTTATCTAATATTGAACACTTACGGGTGTGTGAGCGACTGAGTGAGCGTTGAACGACCGGTCGGCCGGCCGAACAACTTTCCCCATGGGTCGTTGGTATTTCAAAATGTAGTGACACAAACAAGCAGTGTTGACAACATAGATACTTTTTTGAAAAAAGCCATTAAAGTGCTCTGAAATCTAACAACAAAAGCACTAATGATAAATCTAGAGACATTTTTGACAAACCTTAGCTACTTCCCACAGAAGAGCGAGAGTCCCGCCTCTCTCTGTGTCTCCCCTGGTAAGTGAGGCGGAGCAGCAGTTTGTTACCCACACAGTGGCTGCGCACCATGTGAGATACAAAGCAAGACAGATAGTCCGTCTCTTCTAACTTTCTCTCTGAGTGATGATTTTACAGTAAATCAAGCTGAAGTCACAGCTCAGTCTTTGTCTTTGACTAGTGTGTTCTGTGATTTTGTCAGATGACGTCGTGGATTTTAGCAACAGCTCGAAGGGGCCGCTGCGTAACATGTAGTCTTAATGAGCCACATTTCAGCCACCTTTTCAAACTTGTTGCGTTGCCATGACAACAGAAACAAAGAGACATGCCAATAAGAACAGCTTTATTGGGAATTCAGCTGTAAATATGACCTGATAATGTCAGTTGTTTACGGTGGTTCCACAACAGTTTTCAACTACATCGTCAATCACTGACCATACGCGGCCCAGTCATATACTAAGTTTTGACCTGGTCTTGTTTGTATATTGTTGAGGTGTTGTTGAAGCATCACTTGTTAGAGTAACGGAGCATGAAAATTAGCCCCAACATTTTAGTTCAAGGAGCTCTTAGATTCACATTTCTGTTTTCATCATGGGCGTGTTTGTTTATTTAGTTTGTGGAAGCATCACTAGTCTTCAGCTAATGCTAATATCTCACATTCCTGAGCCTTTGATCTGCACAGGAATGCATCACCAATTGGCAGTTTACTTCTCAAATGTGTCCTCACATTAAACAGCATTAACACAGTGTTAAAAACCAGAGTAATCACTGTAATAAATGATCTCACTCAAACACTCTGCTTGTAGATTTTTTCTTCATGTTGACTGCAGTGAATGGAAACTAAACAGCTTTAAACCCAGTTAACAATGTAGCAGCGCAGTCATTTATATTTATAGGAGTAAAACTTGCAGAAACAGCAGATTGGTCTTCAGAGAAAGAACAAACCAGAAGTGATTTTCTGTGGATTTCTCAATAAAGTTTCTACTGAACAAATTCAGAGAGAATAAATATTTTATGACTTCTCTATTTGTGCTTTGAATTTATATTTAAAACCACCAAATATTTCAAGTATAATCATGTTTCTCCTCTACAATCCCATCTTTCCATCCTGCTTAAAAAAAAAAAAAAAGAAAGAAAAAGTAAACTGCTCAGCTTGGGGTTTACAACCACACACCTCCCGAGATTAACACAAAGCAGACAAATGACTGTCCCTGAAGAGACCGTTGAGCACATTAACACACATCTCTCTTTCCACGCTGCACCCCTGCCTCCATCCTCAATAAAGTCAAATATTTATCTCCAGGCATCTGACAGTTTAACCAAGAAAACATATGGACGTCTCTACAGATACTGTGATGTAAGTGTGTGTGTGCGAGGAGAGGAGGGAGCAAGTGCAGGATCTGTTTCACGCCCTGGATGAAAAACAGCGTTGTTGAATTATGGAGCAGGAGCTTTGTACAAGAAAACAAAAAACAGCTTCCTGTGAACATGACTCATTGCTTTCTACTGGCATTGCACCCCCTGTTGCCCATCAGATGTTATTGCATGCATGTAGCTCTTAAAGGGAAACTACAAAAAGTGATTTGTTATTCATTGTTTATATTAAGTATGCTGAGTATCCATGCAGCTGTCTTATTTAAACATGTTAATGTATGTGTGTTGCCATGGATACTAATCAATCAATCTATACTGTCTGTCTGTTTGTCCAGGTGTCCACATCCTGATTGCTGTCGGCGCTGTGATGATGGTGGTCGGTTTCCTCGGTTGCTATGGTGCCATCCAGGAGTCTCAGTGTCTGTTGGGAACTGTGAGTCACAGTCACATTTAAAGGTCCCTGTGGGGTTTGAGACCTCTGTGGAGCTGTATGACGATGAGTGGGGTCATGATTTTGTTTATGTCATGGCCATGACACGATACGCAGTCCTGCCAGTGATTTCACACCGTTACACTGATCAACGTGTGACGGTGCTGTGTCGAGATTAGCTGCAGTACATCAGCAAAGGCAGAGAAGAATAAGACTGTAAGACAGTGAACACTGATGTAAACAATGTAGGATTTAATTACTTTAAAAAATCTGCTTTGTATTTGTTTTATGAGAAATGAAATGACACATTTGTTAGACCTCAAAGATACACAGAGCGTTTTGTTGAGTAACATGTGACATGTGTTTGTTTACAAGAGACGCAGGGCTCCTATAACTTATAAAACCTTATTCTGTCTCATTATGTAATCATGTAAAACCTCAGTAAGCTAAATCCTTAAATGGAGCAGTTATCTGACGTCTCTGTCCTCTCCTGCAGTTCTTCGCCTGCCTGGTCATCCTGTTCGCCTGCGAAGTGGCAGCTGGAATCTGGGGCTTCATGCACAGAGACACAGTAAGACTGCAAACATACACTAGAGGAGATAGACATGTAACATTGAGCCTAAAAGTACAGTAGATACAGTGGCTTCAGAAAGTTTTCTGACTCTTTTTACATTTAAATGTGTTCTAGATTTACATTTGAATGGATAAAATTGCCATTTTTGTCCATCAGTCTACACTCAGTGATCCACAGTGAAAACATGTTTTTGGAAATTTTAACACATTTATTAAAATCAAAAACTGAAATCAACTGAAAAGTTTTCAAACCCTTAATTCAGTACTTTGTAGATACCTCTTTTAGGCTGCATTCATCCTTCCCACAAAGCCCTCATTCTCCCAGTCCCTGCTGCTGACTTTGGCTTTAGAAATGGTTTTATACCCTCACCCTGATCTATGCGCTGACACAATCTTATCATGGAGGTCTACAGAGAGTTCCTCGGACTTAATGGTTTAGGATTTGTCCTGACATACAGTGTGAATTGTGGGACCTTATATACATAGCTGTGTGCCTGTCTGAACTATGTCCAATCAGTGCAGTTTGCCACAGGTGGACTAGAATCAAGTTCTAGACACATCACATTCATTTAATAAATGAAAGCAAACAGGAAGCACATGGTCAATTTACTTTTGTAAATGTGAGGTTTCAGTAAAAAACATGTTTTCAGTTCTTTGTGGGTTATTGAGTGCAGACTGATTTTATCCATGTAAAATTAAATCTACAACACAGTAAAGTGCAAGAAGAGAAAAGGTGTGAATAGTTTCTGAAGCCATTTTAAATCTACAGGATATGTATAGGTCCTGAAGTTGAGGTTAGATATCGTATTATGAAACAAAGGCTTCAAAAAGTCTGGTTTGTATATGGTGTTTTCAGATATCCTGGATTATTATGCCTGAATTATGAAAGAACCCTTAATCAAACTTTTATGATATCAGACAGACTTGTCTGGAAGATTAGTCATGGAAAATGAAAAACCGTGTGAGTTTTCATTCTGTATCAAGCAGGAAAAAAGTTGTTGAATGATATGTTTGGGTTGATTTATCATATTGGACGCTGCATCGCCTTGACCATGCTGAAATGATATATTGTCTGAATGCCCTGTTACTCTTTCTTGAAAGTCATTTGATGTTTGTCATTTTTTCTGAGCAGACACGTATGAGTTTGAGCTTGTACTCAGTTCCTTGTTACTGTTCCAGGTGTCAAAGGAGATGATCACCTTCTATGACTCTGCATATGACAAGGCCATGACACAAAGCCTCACTGACCCGAACAACAAGAAGACTGCTACCACTGTGCTCAAGGTCTTCCATGAGACGGTATGAACAAACACTATACATTTATATTTTTAAAGATATAAGTTATAATAAATTATATTAAATTAAATATATATTTTCATTGATTTACAAAACCATCAACTCAGGTCTTGAGGTCTATTTTATGTGTCTAAATATAAATAGCAAAAACCTTGCAAGACTTGTAAGGGCTGGGACCCTTCAGCAGAGCAGCAGGTGTGCAAGTGACCTAGATACATATCAAGTGTAATACATGCACCTCACCACAAGGCAGAGCTGTGCTGAATACAGACACTCGCTGTCGCAACAATAGTCACACAGTCAAGATTTCGTGTTTCAATGTGGCATGAGTTTTTCCCACATTAACAGTTCCCCTTCAATCCATTAACCTTTTTACTTGTGAATATACGTATATCTAACACTGGTATTGATCTGTACCTCAGGGCTCCATTTATTTTCAGGGGCACTATTATTTTTCTTTAAAGAAATAACATTGATTTATTAGAATTTTAGCATAATATCCAATATAAAGCCAGTATCTACTATCTGAGGCCTTTCAAAGCTCCTGGTGAACCTATCTATGTTCTTGCTGCTTTTTTTTCTAAAATTACAAACAACAAAAAATTGAAAAATATCTACAACTCTAAATCAGCTGAAATCTGTAGGCTGTGAAGACAGAAACAGTTCCAAGTGGCAGCCTGATCAATGTTCAAAGACATAAGACTAGGACTTTAAGGTCCATATTTTCCTTTTCTCCTGTGTTGTATTTGAAGTGTTGATCCATAAGAAGATATATTTGTGGTTTTAAGAACCAAAAACCATCTCAGTGTAGTTTTACATCTCCTCTCTCAGGCTTCTCTCTGGAGCTCTAGTAACAACAGGTCGATGAGCCAATCAGAAGAGAGGAGGCTCTGAGCCTCTTCTCTTGTGATTGGCTCACTGTTTTCTGAGTGGTCCAATAAAAATATAGCAGATTTCAGGTAAACACTCAGAGAAACCAAATCCTGCAAGGTTGGATGGAGTTGGAGTAAAATTAGCAAGGATCACATGTACAGCATGTTCACGGTGTTGTTTTTGTATTTCAGCTGAACTGCTGTGGTAAAGGCCTGGGGACCTCTATTCTGACAAGCTTCACAGACGCATTCAGCATAACCGACCTCTGCCCCAGCGGCTCACAAAAAGTTGTAAGTGTGATTGTCCATCGCGACAGTGTTGTCACCACTTTCATGCAACAACAGCCCCGGGCCAGACTGTGGACAGAAAGCAACACTGGCATTTTAGATTAAATATTAAAGGTGAAGGAGGGTTGTACAGCACCACGTCATCACGCTGGTGTGTTCCTCAACCTTTCCATTGGGAGCCTGATATGCAGACGCAGATAAAAAAAACAAATGGATTTGAAATTCAGCTGAATTTGTTCATTATTTGGAACCAACACAATGCTCTTAAAAATACAATAAATGCTCACCTTTCACATAAACACCAGACACCTTTACAGCTCTCAGTGGTCATGAACCTTTTCTGAAGAACGGACCTTCCACAAAGCAGACATCTTGTCTTGTCAAAGCACAGCTGGAGCTAATAACAGTAAAGACTGCTCTGTTCCTTTTAGATGTACCAGTAAGTTATGTCAGAAACAATAGTTCAACAGGGAAATTCACATTCTTGCTGAGAACCAGATGAGGAGATTGATACCACTCCCATCAGTACAGAGCTGGAGCCATTAGACGAATCATTACTGATTTTCTCTGGATTAAACAAACAAGATAAAATGTGTTAATCAGTGTGAACGATGCTGTTGAGGTACGGCTGATGCATTTTGTAACTTTGGACAGAGCCAAGCTGCTTCCCTTGACTTCCAGTCTTTATGCTAAGATAAAATCTGGCTCCAGGTCCGCACTTAAAGCACCGGAATGAGAGTGGTTTCAATCTTCTCCTCTAACTCTCAGCAAGAAAGAGGAAAAACATAATGTCAAACTGTGTAATGTTGTCAGTTACACATGTTTGCAAGTCAAAAATGTCTGCTATGAGAAAGGTCTACAGGGTCAGGGGCCTGAAAAGGTTGAGAAACCGTGATGAAAATAAGTGGTGTATAATCCAACAAAATGTGTGATGTAGATGAATAGATAACTTAAGTTTCTTCTTACTCAGCAAATTAAACAAACAAGCCAGAGAATATTTGTCTTCATTTATAGATTTATTGTAAATGATGAAATTACTTTTATCAGTGATAAGAAATATCATGCTTGTCTTGGCAGCCATCTTTATCCCAATTTTACACAGGAAAAGCTGAAAGAAAAATCGCATTTTTCATTTATTGTCACTGTGTGTTCAGTTTTAAACAGATTTCAGAACTTTTACATCATTTCATCTGCAGACTCCGTATAATTTTCACAGCATTTAAACAATCACTGCAGGTATTTTGAGAGGGAATTGATTCATAATTTATCATTGTTTACACTGAAGCAAAGATTATAAAAGCTTATAAACCTTCGACCCTTGAGACCAAACTTCACATGCCTGATCTTAGTTTCAGAGAAAAAAACAGTCAATTATAAGATATAAACTTATCTTTTAGCAGCACGTAGAGACTGAATGACCCAAGACTCAGAACTAACATCCAAACAGGTTCAGCAAATTTGCTTACAGTAGCTTAAACTGAATTTGATTTACAAGTATTTATGTGAAATTGACCTGAACAACACAACTATACAAAATGTTTAACTCCAAACTGGAAGAGTATCAAAAAAAGAAGTGCTCACCTTCCCGTGGCGCAGTCCAGACTTTTCATGTGTGAACTTTTGTGAAGTTTAAAGGAGCTATTTGTAAGTTTTGCTAGTGTTACATACAACATTAGCATTAGCAGCTTTTTACTTACCACTCTAGAAGAAACGTTGTGAGTTCAGCATCAAACTTCATTCCTTTACTCACCAACAGCTGTCTCCAGTGCTGGAAATCAAACCTTTTGTTTGGCCTCTATTTCTATCGCTTTTTTTCTTCAACTGAAGTTAGCATGCTAACCAGCTAGCCCTGATGCAGCCGGACCATCTTGTCACTTTCTAATACCAAGTGACTGTAGTGTCCAGAGTGCTTGGGTTCCAGCAGTTGTGGTGCTTGGAACAATAATAATAATATTAATAATAACAATAATTTCTTCTATTCTATACCTTGGTCTGACATCAACACTCAAAAATTACCCAGATTTTTAAGTGGTGAATCTGCCTTCATGGTCATTGTAAACTACATATGTCCTGTGTGAGAACAGAACAGGCATAGCAACAGTTACTAATGTGATAGGGCTTTGTAAACAGTCTGTTAAAGATGTCAACAATTATGGTGCTGTGCTCTTGCCCTAAACTCTGATTATAGCCCTGAGTGAAAACTGGTCACTGGAATAACTGTGGAATATAACTTAGATAGTAATTAGCCAGAGTCAGATATGGAACATCAACATGATACTGTTGTTCTGAAGCTGATTTAAATTAATGTCTTGATGTTTTTTCCTTTGCAGAATTGCCACCACAGGATCAACGAGTTGTTCTCAGATAAGATTTATCTGATTGGTATCGCCGCTCTGGTGGTTGCAGTTATTATGGTGAGAATTTGAAGCAGCACATCACATAAGTAACAAACCTTTCAATAACACAGTGTATTTCTTCCTTTAATTTATCCAAAAGCAAACAGGTACATACTGCATACCATAACACAGGGCACAAGATATTGTGTGTGAGATTGTGTGCCATGGCAACATTAAATCCAGATCTGTTGTATTTAACCACCACCACGTGTTGTGTAGTCATGGCAGTGGATGTGTGCAATAAATAAGTGATTATTAGTAAAATGTATAAAACAGATAATATGTATACATTCATGCTGGTTCAGCTGCATCACTTACCTAAAAGACAAGACAAGTGTAGTTAATGACTCATATTTCTTTATAGCACAGCTGAGTAATTGTTGTTCAGTCGTTTGTTTACTATTTCTAAGTAATGTTACCAAGACTGCATTTTAAAGAAAAAAAACATGGCAGCAAAGGAGAGAGACCAACAGATAATTCAGAGCTGCCAGGCCCAAGTTTGTCTTCGTAAAGAGTAACAGTTTAAATATAACTTTATTAACTGAATCATTTAGACTGTTTGAGCCTTCACATCTGTAATATGTTCATAGCACCAAAGTATCACAAGGGTGCTCACATCTGTCCCTTCTTGACTTGTTTTTTTTGACCAGAATGTTTGATTTCCATTATCATTTCGTCAATTTAAGTACTTTAGTATTAACTTAAGTCAGCTTCCATGGAACATTTAACATGTTTATTCCTCAACTGGAGAAAAAATGTTTTGTGTTTGGTGTCTGTCTGTCTATTGGATATATGATGTTATGGCTCTATATTACAGGATGAGACTTGTGCTATTCTAAATCTTTAGCGTTGTCAACAGATCCCACAAAAAGATCAAAACCAACATGTTAGTCATTGATAAATACTTTCTGACTTCTCTACCCTGTCAATGACACTCAGCCTCATGCCAAGTGGTTCCTATGAAAGGGGTCACAAATAGTTTGATATTTCTTCCTAAAACAGCTGGTCACTGAGTTTTTAGCTAGCGTCACTGAAACAGGAGGAAATGGTACGTTTGGTTGGGGCTAATTTCAGTTCACATTTACATGTTTCTGGTAGCAGTGTGTGTGGGACTGAGTCAGAATAAACCACTTTTACAGGGAATTATGTGGTTTGACTGTTTCTTGCCAAACACCAGCTGGATACAGTCAGTCACTGAGTCATTGAGTTGTTCCTCAATAAATAGTTCTAGCATGTAACTCCCTCTAAAACCACACATTGTCAATTTTACATCACTGTTTGTAACAGATTAAAGCAAATAAGTGTTAATTAGTGACCTTTGGAGGTGTTGGTAGGTGTATTTTTAAAACGTGCTTCCAGTCTTTATGCAAGAAATGCCAAAATTAGAGAGATTAGAGAGAGTCAACCTGTTTCTTTAACTGTTAACTATTTCTTTGGATGGACCCCAAGCTGGTCTGGGGTAAAGGGGAGTAACAAAAGAGTAGTTTAGGAGCTTGAGGAGTCATATTATTCAGGTTTTCAAAGATTTATTGCCAAAACATGAAGCACAGTATAATTGGCCAAGGCCAAAATAACAAATGTAACTTCCCTAACTAGAAACAAAACCACAATACTGAAACTAAAACAAAAGAAAAGTTCACAGTACTAATCTCCTTAACAAAAGAAAGGGTTGAAATAAAATGGCAGCTCTCCCCTACAGGGCTCCTTGGCAGGGTTTACCAACTACAGTCAAATGAAATCATACAAACGGTAACCAATAACTGAAATTCAGCAAACAAAATGGTAACAAACAGCATGTTGCAGAGGGAGTGACCTCAGAGGTCTGGACCAATTAGCTGCAGGTCCTGAGATGCAACTAATAATCATGAGCTGAGGCCTACAGAGCCTGAGGAGCAGCCCAGTAAATCAGTTATCTAATCATCCTTCATGTCTGTGTCCACCCTCAGATCTTTGAGATGATCTTCAGCATGGTGTTGTGCTGTGGGATCCGCAACAGCCCCGTGTACTGAGGCGCCGGGCTGCCAGCGTCCTCGCCAATGAAGGAAGGACGACCTCTCCGTCTCGCTCACTTTTCTTTTCTTTTATAAGCAGGAACCGTCACATACTATTGCTTGCTGGATTTTAGTCGGCTCGTTGAGAAGACAACATAAACCATCCTCCATTGAGCGTTTTAATTACACTGTCAATGATTTTGTTTTTGTTAGTCACAGATGCTGTTATGCATATTTGACCAGTACTATCCTAACCTGATATGTAGATATTATATTACACTGTCACATTGAATTACTTCCACCAGTCCTGGTGCTCTAATCCTTTAGGGATTCATTAGTTGTTTACTGCCTCCTTGCCTATGAACATGCTCTTATATTCTTGGTTTTAAGGATGTTTTTTTTTCACTGTTTTATGTATAAACTGTATATAAATATATATTAACAGTGCTTTATGACTGCATGAGCATGGATACTACAGTAAATTCTCCTGTATTCTTCCTGCACTATGCTTATATGTCTTGCCCTAGACCGAACCAGATGATGGTGTATAAGACCGGCACTAGTGTTGGCCTCACCATGCTGCATAGAGGTGAACATACACAAACACACTTCCCCGTCCGACAGATCATTGTCTCGGTTCACATCCACATCAATGAGAGGATTTATACCATCTCTCATGTCTTTAGGCTAAATATGAAGCTACAGCTAGCAGGTGATTAGCTTAGTTTAGCAGAAAGACTAGAACAAAGGGGAAATGAGTGCTGGAAGTATTTTTCTCCGGGTGCAGTGACGTCTGGAGTCTTGTCATCTTGAGTTGGCAGGTGGAAAGTCGCACCAGGCCGAGAAATAGTTCCAGCAAGTCGCTCCCCTTAAGTGTTACCCATAATAATGCCAAACAGTCATATTCAACTCCCCATATTGTTACATTTGTCAGATTCACAATTGAATGGTGTTTTTCAGGGCTGTTGTATTAGATTAGATATTACAAGTGTTCATGCTTTTGTATCTGCTCCCTTCAACTTTATTGTGTAATAGTCTCAGACTACTAACTGCAGTGGTAATATTTGTAGTAGTAGAGGGCAGTGCAGTCACATGAAAACTGTTGATCTAAAATCAGACTTAAAGGTGCCATATTTTACACTTTTCCTGTGTTGTATTTGAAGTGTCGATCCATAAGAAGATATATTTGTGGTTTTAAGCCAAAAACCATCTCAATGTAGTTTTACATCTCCTCTCTCAGGCTTCTCTCTGGAGCTCTAGCAACAACAGGTCGGTGAGCCAATCAGAAGAGAGGAGGCTCTGACAGCTGAGAGCAGTCACTGTTTTGTTGTGACATCATAAAGTTACAGAAGTCCTGACAGCTCGTTATAAAGCTCATTTCTCAATTTCTCTGTGGACTGAGCGCTTTGATACTTTCACAGTATTAGTAACCTAGACCTGCTTCATAATCAAAACACACATGGAAATCTGACTTCATACAATATGGGACCTTTAACTGCTGCTTGAAGTTCCACCAATTAGAGAACTGCCATCTGGCAACTGAACATCCAGTGGGATTTTTTATTCCACTACAAAGGCTTGAAGTATTTGGTCCTGAGGTCTGTTCCTGCTAGATGCATCTGCCACTGACACTAACTCTTCAGCACTGCAACGCATCATAAACTCACACACTCACCGAAAATCTTGCCATCTTGTGTAACCTCCCATATTATCAGTGTTTGTCAACCAACTAAAAACCTTGTATTGTTAACATCTCTTACTTAAACTGAGAAACCGTAAAAGTGTCTTGTAATAGTTACAGCTCTGAAGTATTGTACTAATGAAAATAATGAAGGCTGTAAAAAGACAATGTATGCCTTTTTTTCTCTTTGTATTGTGATATCTTTGTCTGGTATGTCATCACAGGAGTCTGAACAGGAAGGGTGGAAGACTCTGTGCAAGTGGCAACTGAGAGGAAGTCGAACTGTCAATATATGTCAGTACATCAGCTGGTTTCTCCCCAGAAATCATTAAATAAAATATGACACCCATCAGTCCAGAATTCCCCAGTGATAAGGGCGATAGCTGTGTTTCTCTGTCCGTGTTGCTGCCTTTTCAATTTTGGTAACTGACAGTCAGGAGCCACTGCCATTTAAATCTCAACCCATCACTACTCTCTAGACTTCGGTTTGCCCAAATATAAAGGGATTAAATGTATTTTACAAATAAACAGTCAGGTGGTCTCGTCTTTTTCTTTGGGAATCCTAACCGAAACAAATGAAATGTAAACCTACAGACCTACTTCTTGCACCTCAAGGTGATAGGGATAAAAGAAACAGCAAAAAGTAACTGTTAAGGTCTTTAGTTTATTAATAGGCTCCATGTACTTTTATCAAATTAGACATCAATGAAAATATGTCAGGATTAAGGACCATGACCCCATCACACCTACAAACAGATAAAACAAATTCAATCAGGAGAGACTTCATTCTGACTGAATTTCCATGTGCAAATACAAGAGAAAAAAGGTGACAGATGACAGAGTCTTTGGTGATCAGACCCCATCGTGATGTCATCATATTTGAAAAGGGGGTGAAACTGTGTTAAATAGGAAACCCCCATAAGGATAAATGATTGAACTCATGTCGAGCTTCATCACTACAGTAGTGATACCTGCCTTACAAATATTACAGACTGGATGTGCAACAACTAAATGAGGAAACTGAACTGACAAAACTTAAATTAATTGGTGCTGATTTATAAATGAGAGGAAATTCAACCAGAACAGAATGAGGCAAAAAGTTTGGGTCTAACAGATTAATTAAACTTCAGTAAGTTTTTTAACTATGTTATGTTCCCAGAAAGAGTAAAGGGATAAAGGGAAGTAACAATGAAAGATAAAGAACCGGGGAAAACAGAAACAGGAAACAGGAAACCAGATTCCAGAAATAAACAAGGAGGAACTTAATTCACAGTAAGGGAAAACTATAACGAAAAACCGTCAGTAGAGCACTGGGTAACAACAACCAACGTCAAACACACAAAAGTAAGACTGTATTTATACCACGAGGGGAGTGATGCAAAAGTGAGACCATATGTCGCTCTTCCGTTTGTAAAGAAACTGACTCATGTTGTGATTTCTACTTGACTGTTTTAACTTGACTAAGCAAAGTACACACTTTGTCTTTTCCTGTTAACAGTGACTCACGTAATTGAACTGTTCATCATGAGTGATGAATACAGTGTACAGTGGCTTCAGAAAGTATTCACACCCCCTTCACTTTTTACTCACTTTATTGTGTTATTTTTTTTATTTTAAATTGATGAAATTATCATCAATCCACATTCATTAACCCTTATTAACAAAGTAAAAACATGTTTTTAGACAATTCTGCAAATTTTAAAATAAATCATAAAGTGAAATCTCATTTATAGAAGTATTCAGAACTGGGTGGGGGGTCCTCATGTAGAGGTTCTCCATGGATTTTAGAGGATCTTTAAGCCACTACACAATTAATGTGGCCCAATAAGTTCATAATAACGATATTATTGTGATATCTTCAGAAAATTAGAAAATAAAAGTAAAATAATCAGTCAAATTAATTTTTAACTTTATTTATTGTGTGTTTTTTTTTGGCAAATGAATTGGACGTAAATATGAGTGTAGGGAGGTGGAGAGAGTTTGTAGAAATAACTACAAAAAGAACAATTAGACTTAATGGAGAGTGAAAAGGAAACAAGATGAACTGATCAACAAAAGATCATCAAGGCTGAACATCTGCCATTGTATCAGTATATTAAAGTTTTTAAAATAACTTCTATTGCTGTTGACGAAATAACAGTGTCATCAATTAGTATTAAAACATGAAGTCAGATGAAGAAACCATGTTCCCCACAGTCTTGGTTAAGCCTTCTTATTACTTTATCTACAAATAGCACAAAGAAGAAATATAACTGAGACACTTGTTGCATATCTTTCATAAAACAATCAATCTTGATCTTTTAATGTCTCACTCAGAATCATCTGTGATTTGATATAAAAGAACAGAGTGCCAGACTAAATGGACAGCACTTGGTAAACGGAGAGCACTTATATAGCTCTTTTCTATTCTTATCGACCACTCAAAGTGCTTTACAACACTTGCCACATTCACTCACACATTCATGCACACACTCACACACTGATGTAACAGCCATCGGGGGCAATTTGTGGTTCAGTATCTTGCTGACAGCTGAATTTAAATCAGCATCAACTCACCCATACAGAAATGCAATATATGACACATATGCCCCTGTATCAACAGTGATGTTGCCATATATGTTAACTATAAGGGGATATATTATTATCACATATATACATCCTCTGGATATATGAAGGCATTTTATAAAGTTTATAACATATATGAAATACACATAGTAAAACCTGTATATGTACATATTAAAAATATATATGATGACGTTTTATATGGTATCTATAGGCTTTTATATGTTTTTCTTATTAATTTCTCATTAATTTTAACATTCAAGGAAAGTGGTCTGAGACTTTTGGACCCTACTGTTTATAATATCTATATATCAACTGGTTTTAGAATGGATATATATATTAACATAACATATGTCTACAATATAAGCATACATACATAAACATACATATTTGTAAGGCCTAGACATATATGTCAATATATGAAATTGTTCCAATTTCTAAAAGGTTTTATAATTTTATTTTATATGTACATGACATGTACTTTACATACTTATGTTTGGAAATTCAATATATGTACATATATTACATTACATACAGTACATGCGTTTGGACTAAGTGGAGTCTAAAGAGATCACAGGGTGTCCAGATACTGAAGGTGCTGTAGATTCATCCTGTTTACCCAAATAAAGGTTATCTGTCAGTGTGGTCACAGGTGAGAAATATTCACACAGAATGTGTCTAATCCAAACAAAACAGGAGAGCAAGTTTCCAACGAGCAACAGCACAAGCAATAATAATAATAATGATAACTTATATTTTTATAGCACCTTTCAAGGTATCCAAGGCCGCTTTACAGAGTAAGAAACACAAAGTAAATAAATAAAACAAATAAATGAAAACAAGACGAGAGAGAATAAGGATGGCAATGATTGGAGGAGATGAGTGAGCTAGACTCCAGAGGCCTTGGTGAACAGATAGGTTTTCAGCAGTTTTTTGTAAATGTCCAGAGATGAGGCTGTGCCGATTTCTTCCGGGAGAGAGTTCCAGAGGGTGGGGGCTGCCACACTGCATGCTCTGTCGCCGAAAGATCGCAGCAATTCTGGACTTTGCCACCAGGGGGTGCACCAACCAAGCATACAATAACAAAGTCTTGGTAAGACAATGTTCCACCACCTTCTGGTTGAGATCTGGTGTGTAACATATGATTCACATTATTTTCATCAACCCACTGACCTCTCGTGTATGAAAGCATCTGGATTTGTTGTTCCTCTCCTCTCATTTACTCAGGTTTTCCCTTTAATTTAACACCAGTTTGTAGAAATACATGTTTCACCCCTCTCAGAGAGCTGTAAAGTTACAGTGTTGATTTGAGGCAGATATACAGTTGTACTTACCCACTGTATAATATTGCAGTAGGCTCTATATGTCAATAATGATTATACAGATTGATATATTTCAAATAGATTCATAATTTTGTAAATATAAAATATCATAAAAATGTAATAGTTGTAGAAAACTACACATCAAGTGAAGCCACATGAGGTTCCTACACCAGGGATGAGGAGCATGAATTTAGTTTTTCAATTTGATCTCTGCAGGCATGACAACACTGCCAAACAGCAGCACAGAGGGAGGCCTCCTACTCTTTGCAAGGAAAAATGAAAATAACACAACATCTCTTCGTCAGGATTCCTAGGAACTCCTGGGAACATTCCCCCCCTTGTTGAATTTCAAACAAGGACAAAGTTCTACAGATTTTTCTATCAACCAGACAGAATTTCAGGCTTTAAAATCCCAGATTTTGAATCTGTTGCCTTTTTCTGCTGCTATTTGGAGCTGGCAGGAGATGATAATGGAGATTTAAGTTGGACATATAGTAACCACACGTTTTCCCTTTTTCTATTGTTTAGTTGCGTCGCTCTGTGAACGCCTCAAATCGCTCAAAAATAGGATAAAGCTGCAAAGATAAACACTGAGCAGCAAACATTCATTGGACTATGAGGCAAAACAAAGGCTGGGT